GGAGAGAACCCAGGAGTCCTGGTCCCAGCCCCCCCTTCCCTAACCCACCCCCCCAACTCTAACCACCAGACCACACTCCCCTCCCAGAGCCGGGGAGAGAACCCAGGCGTCCGGGCTCCTCTCCACGCACACAACCAATGTGTTTCCCGCCACAGGGCTCAGCTTCAGGCCTCCCCGCAGCGCCCCATCTTGGCCACCGGGGGCAGTGTCGCCGGTTAACCCTTACCTTCCCGGTTGGCCTGGAGCGTGGAGCCCTGGCTAAGGTTGGAGGGGGCCTCGTCCATCAGCACGTCTTCCGGGGCGTCGTCCTCCCCGCTGCGGCTCACTGTGGGGCAGGGATGGGGTGAGGGGGGCCCCGGGGTGGCCACACGCGCAGCGCCAGCCAGGCCCTCGGCTCCAGGGCCACAGGGAAGGGGGTGAGAACCCCCCCTCCAGGCTCCTGCCCGAGATCCCCCTCGACATGGGCCTTCCGACCCCCCACCGTACAGAGCAGGGGCCCTGACCCCGCTCTAGCCACTAGACCCCCACTCCCCCCCCCCAGAGTTAGGGAGGGAACCCAGGAGTCCTGGCTCCCAGAGCAGCATGTAACGCGCCAGGCCCTGCTTCGATCCCAGCTGCCCTCAGCAGTCCCCCCCCCCCCCCCAAGACCCGGCACATGCCCTTCGGTGCCTGCCCCACACACCCCCTCACCGATGATGGTGCTGTTCCCAGGGCCGCCATCGCGCTCCAGCAGCTCGTCTATCAGGTCCTCCAGCTCGTTCTCCACCTGTGGGGGGCAGAGGAGTGGTGGGTGGGGGCCAGGCCGGTTGTGATGCCCCCCCCGCCGCCCCGGCTGGCCCCTCACCTGCATCTCTTGGGTGCTGAGCACCTCAGGCTGCCCGGCGATCACCACCGCGTCGCCCTCCGCCTCCCCGTCCATGATGTCGCCGTCCGCCACCTCCGCCTGGCCCGCGTCGTGGTCTTCCTCATGGGCACCGGCCTCACCCGGCTCCCCTGGGGGAACAGTGCGATCAGGAGACGGCCTGGAGCTTCCAAGGCGCAGGGATCCTGGGAGCATGGGGAGGGGCGCAGGCTAGGGGGAGTTGGCAGCAGGGGGCAGCAGGCGATCCCAGTGGAGTAGAGGGGAAATCGGAGAGGGAGCCCGGCAGCGGGGGAGGCAGGTGGGAGCCAGCCGGGGGCGCACAGGCTGTGGGCGAGGGGAGGGCGCCCGGCAGCGGGGGAGGCGGGTGGGAGCTGGCCGGGGGCACACAGGCTGTGGGCGAGGGGAGGGCGCCCGGCAGCGGGGGAGGCGGGCGGGAGCAGGCCGGGGGCACACAGGCTGTGGGCGAGGGGAGGGCGCCCGGCAGCGGGGGAGGCGGGCGGGAGCAGGCCG